ATACGAGACGAGACTATACCATACCACACCACACGAGACGATACGAGACGAGACTATATCATACCATACCACACCACACAAGACGATACGAGACGAGACTATATCATACCATACCACACCACACCACGACATACGAGACGAGACGATACGAGACGAGACTATATCATACCATACCACACCACACCACGACATACGAGACGAGACGAGACGAGACGAGACGAGACTATACCATACCACACCACACGAGACGATATGAGACGAGACTATACCATACCATACCACACCACGACATACGATACAAGACGAGACTATACCATACCACACCACACGAGACGATATGAGACGAGACTATACCATACCACACCACGACATACAATACGAGACGAGACTATACCATACCATACCACACAAGACGATATGGGACGAGACTATACCATACCATACCACACCACGACATACAATACGAGACGAGACTATACCATACCATACCACACAAGACGATATGAGACGAGACTATACCATACCACACCACGACATACGAGACGAGACGAGACTATACCATACCACACCACACAAGACGATATGGGACGAGACTATACCATACCATACCACACCACGACATTTGAGATGAGACGAGACGAGACTATACCATATCATACCATACGAGACGAGACGAGATGAGACGAGACGAGACTACACCACACCACACCACACCACACCACACCAGATGAGACGAGATGACGAGACGATTTTTCATCCTTTTATGTTTAAATGGAAGAACTGTATGTCCTACAAACTCCTACCTTGTGGTTCTTGCCGTGCCGGTACACCATCCAGTCCTCCCCGTTCGTGCTGACCTCCAGTTTGAAGGTCATGACGTAGTAGGACTTCTGCGTCTCCTTGGAAACAGCCCCCTGTGTGGCGATGCCCGTCAACACCTTCAGGAAGTGGAGGTCGACCTGGAGAAAGGAGCGAAAAGGAAATATCTTAACAACAATAAAACAGATTAGGAAAGAATAGAGTGATAGACGGACTGTGCAGATTGCTGTAGGGATTTATGGTGCTCAGGGCTGATGTAGATAACAGAGACAGACCAGCTGCTGTGTCTATCTGTCACACAGACAGCAGGGGATGGACGCCGACTGTGGCCTACTGCTGAGGAAGCTTAGGTGGTGTGTGTGTGTATGTGTGTGTCTGCATTGTCGTGTGTAAAGGGGAGGAAGGCTGGAGGCAAAGATCAATGGCGTAGTGTTCGGATGCATTCCTGAAGAGCGCCTTCATCAATCATAGGCTTCTCGGCGCTCATGTGTATGTCCACCTATGCATGCATACGCGTGTGTGTCTGAGACAGGAAAAGATTGAGAGCGCAGAAGCACTTCCTTATCATCAGTTCACAGTTCCTCCATTTCCTTTCTGCGTGTGTGTGCGTGTGTGTGTCCTCACTGTATATGAGATGCAGTTGCCCGTTGCATCTTCTCCTCTACAATGCTGGAATTATTCAAATTCAAAGTGAGCACTTTAAATCCTGACCTGTATATACTCTTTGTTGCTGTCCTCTGAAGGCGTCCAGGCGTTGTCATCGTTGTTGAGGCGGGCCTGGCGCGGCAACCAGCGGTTGTCATAGAAGGTTGTCGAAGCGGTGATCTGATCATCGCTGATCTTCCCTGACTCCATACCGAGCGCCATGCTACAGTGGAACGCTGGTGCAAGACAAAGAGAGAGCAGAGCGTTAACTGTGTATTTGTTAACGTGGCTTTACAGTGGGGATGGGAAATAAGCTGCAAGAAAAATAGAAAGAGGAAGGAAGCAATGATGAATATAGAATGGATGACAGATGCAAGAACATTTTCAAAGAGACTGAAAGGGAAGATCTAAGCCACATTTTTTAGAGCTTGAAGACAGAGAGGAAAGCTAAATCCAGACAGACAAAGGGCAAAGTGAGACAGAGAGCAGCCCAACAGGTGACCAGAGGTAAATTGAGGTGAAGTTAATTTATATTCCAAAAGAAAATAGTATGACTCTGCTTCAGAGAAACCATGCTCTCTTAGGAGAGAGCAAAATAGACTGAGAGGGGTGAGTGAGATTTAAATAACATTAAAGTCGGCAAAGCTGAAAAGATCGAGAGGGTAAGAGGAGTGGAGGATGAAGAAAGAAAGACAAGTGTCAGCAGAGATGACGGAGGAGAGGCTGTTGAAAGAGAGAAAATAGAGGCGGTGATAAGAACAGGTAAACAAACCGACACACACTCCGTAAAAGTTATCTGGCACTCACAGTCGCTGACTTCTTTGTGCGTCATGTTGTATCGGGCGGAGAAGCCGTCTTTGGCCACGGCCATGTCGGTGTGGAAGGAGAGGGACAGCAGGCCGGAGGACGACTGGATCTCTGGGGGGATTTTTGTCCCGCAGTACCGGCCGATCAGAGGAGACACTGTAGACACAAACATTGTCAAATACTTTTATTTTTTAAGTAGTTTTCAATGTCTTATTGCAATAAAAACACTTGATTTGATGTCTCCCTGTCTGTTCCCTTAGTTACGGTGTGTAATAACGGCCAGAAAAGTGTTTTTGGAGAACATTATAATGTCACAGTGAAGTTGACCTTTGACCTTCTAGGTATATAATTTCATCACTTCACCAGTATATCCTATTAAACATTTGTGTAAAATTTTGTCATAATCAGCATATGAATTCTTGAGTTATGGCCAAAAACTGGTTTTGTGAGGTCACAGTGACCTTGACCTTTGACTACCGAAATCTAATCAGTTTGTCCTTGAGCCCAAGTGGATGTCTGTGCCAAATTTGAGCAAATTTCCTCAAAGCTTTCTTGTGATGTTGCATTCACAAGACTTAGAGGGACACAAAGTCACAGTGACCTTGACCTTTGACCACCAAAATCTTATCAGTTC